AAGATTTTGGGATTGTATTCTTCAGTTGATATCAACATGGTGGTTGGTGGAGATTTCAACTACCTCACTTCAAGGGAAGACAAGAGAGGAGGGAAAAGGTTTCAATACTCTCAAGGATATAAGGAAATGGAGGCTTTCTTTACCAATAATGATTACCATGAGGTAAGATTCGTTGGGCCTCGTTTCACTTAGTGTAACAACAAAGTTGGAGGAGCTCAAATCTTGGAAAGGCTGGACAAGTGCTTCCTTAACTCCTTTGCTTTAAACTCCTCTTCTCAATTGGTTGTTAGGCGCCTAGCTAGAATAGCTTCCGACCATTGCCATGTTATTCTAAATTTCCTCAAATTGAAATCACCAAGCTTGAAGATCATTAAGTTTGAGGATGTGTGGGCATCCTATCCGACTGCTCTCTCTGTCGTAAAAAAGGCTTGGGCCATAAAATATCAGGGTAGTCAATCCCAAATCCTGAATTCTAAGTTCAGAAGATCTTTAAGATCTCTTTTTTTTTTTATCAAAGCTAACCTGAAAAATTTGAACCTGTCTAAAGACAAATTGATGGAAGATATCTTAGATTTGCAAACTAAAGAATCAGATATTGGTTGGCTCATTGAAGAAGAATGCTGGAGTTTGAAAGCCAAGACATTTGAGCTGAATTCAATAATGGCTAGATTGAACACATGGTGAAAACAAAGAGCTAAAGTCAAATGGATAGTTGATGGAGATTGCAATTCAAAATTTTTTTATTCCTTTGCTAGTGCAAGAAGAAGTTTGAACAACATTGTGAAGATTAAGGATGATGAAGGGAATGTCCTGGAAGAGCAAAATCAAATTGAAGAAACACTTATTCGGTTCTTCAAATAGAAGTGGAGGCAAAGGGAGTGCACCTTGGAAGGATGGCCAAAGCCAGAAAATGTTTTAAACAGGGATGACAAATTGTGGCTTGCAAGGGAGTTCTTGGTGGTAGAGATTGAGATTGTTATTAAACAATTGGGTGGTAACATTGCACCTGGAAGTGATGGCATCTCATACTCATTTATTAAAGCATATTGGGACATCATAAAAACTGATTTTGTAAATGCAATCAACTTTTTTCTTCGACATGGAGAGATGGATAAAACATGGAAGGATACTTCAATAGTTCTTATTCCTAAAGTTTCAAATCCTTTGCTTCCTTCTAATTTCAGGCCAATTAGCTTATATAATTTGGTTTACAAGGTGGCGGCTAAAGTAATTTTAAACAGGCTAGCCTTGGTTATTCCCAAACTCATCTCAGAGGAGCAGGCGGCTTTCATCAAGGGGAGATCTATCTTAAATCATGTATTGGTTTCTCAAGACGTGTTCTACAAGTTCAAGTACTCAAAATCTTCCAAAGGCCTTATAGCTTATAAAATTGATATGGAACAGGCTTATGACTCTATGTGTTGGGGCACTCTTGAAGGAGTCTTGAACTACTTTGAATTCCCTCCTTTATTTTCTAAACTTATTTTTGAATGTGTGTTAGAACTAAGGTTCTCAGTGATAATCAATGGTAATCTATCTGATTGGATTAAAGCCAAGAGTAGCTTCCGGAAAGGTTGCCCATTGTCACCTCTTCTTTTTATATTGTTCTCTCAACTCCTCACTAATGCCCTTGCCTTAACATCTATTGGAATTAGTATTTGCCAATATGGTCCACGGATATCACATCTTCTGTATGAAGACGATGTGATGATTTATTCTGAAGCTAATAAGAAAAGGGCATTGGAGATAAAAGGCATAGTTTCCAAATTTAGTAAATGGACGGATCAATGTATAAACATTGGCAAATCATCCATTCTCTTTGGGAAGATGGTAAATAGAAGGAGGAGGAAGTCCATTACACGAATTTTGGGTATCAAGGAAGTGAAGGAAATTTTGTATCTTGGTATCAAGATGACATTAAGAAGATGAAGGCTAATGATTTTCAATTTATCATTGAAAAATCATTAAAGAAACTCAATACATGGGGAGTAAGCTCATTTCCTTGGCTGGCAAACTAGAACTGGTTAAATTGGTCATTTTGTCCCAAATTTCTATAGCACACACTCCATTGTTCTTATCCGTGTTCTTGATGACATCAACAAATTATGCAGGAGTTTTATTTGGAATAAACCCAATGGGAGGATTGGTATCCACTATATCAGGTGGAATGAATTATGTAAACCGTTAGATATGGGAGGATGGGACTATGTTCATCTACATCTAAGGTGGTTAATTTGAGAGCAAGACTAGCATAGCGGGTTCTGAATAACAAAAACTCTCTTTTATACAAAATGATGGCTCCTAAATATGGTTCTAAGATTGAAGTAGAAAGTAAGAAGAGAAATGTATCATCTTCATGGAAGATTATTACTAATTGAGGAAAAGCTTTACATCCATTATTATAATGGAGTGTTGCAAATGGATCATCAATTGATGTCTTTGAAGATAAGTGGCTACTGGATAAGAGTATCAACAAATGGCCTATATTTGTTCAACCTCAAGGAGAAGAACCGGTAATGCTGGACATATTCATTGTAGATAAGGAATGGAATGTGGCTGAATTGCTGAAAATGTTTGGTAGTGAAATGGTGGAGCTCATTTCACATGCCAAAATCAAGTCTGGTTATTGGGAGGATGAACAAGAGATGATACACCAAAATTTTGGGAAAATGATATCTGGAATGATTGCTGAAGCTTGGCAGCAGAATCAGGCTGAATGCAAATTTTTAAAGTGGTTAAAAAAGGAAAAACTTGTCCCATGGGTGGAAATCTTTTGCTGGAGACTATTTAAGAAATCAATCCCAACTTATTAGTTTCTAGCCCATAGAAGATTGCAAGACGTTGAAGTTTGTTCAAGGTGTTTGGACGGCATTGAAGATATGGAACATGTTATAGTCAAATGTAGCAAGATGAAGGAGGTAATGTCACAACTTAACAAATGGTGATTTGGAATTCCATTTTTCGAAAGCTTTGAAGATTGTTGTGACTGGATGGATTTAATGGAACACAATGGTATGATTTTTAATTTGTTTTGCAATGTTATGTATCTTTCATGGAAAGCTAGGAACAAGTTTCTACATGATAAAGTGGTAAAAGGTGCAATTTCGATGGCTCCTAATGCTGTCAGTTTTTCTTCAATCTATAAATTGATTGTTAACTCTAAATCGGAAATACGGGATGCTAACCAGCCCTTTAGGCTGTCCAATACTTGGTATCTCCCTCCACCCAATTGGTTTAAAATCAATGTAGATGCTTCACTTGGCTCTTCTTATATAGCCGGCATTGGAGGTGTTATACGTGATAGCAAAGGGAGATTCTTAATGGCTTTTGGTAAAACATGCATATATTGGGACATTTATCAATTGGAACTTCTAGCTATCAAGTCATTGAAAGAAGTGTCAAAGATTGGATGTTCAAATACAAGGGAGCAATCATTAAAGGTGACAATGCAAATGTAATGAGGAGGCTTCATAAGGCTCGGATTGATGACTTCAAGGGGGTAGAAGACTTTGTTTTTTTTTTTTTTTAAGAATTTAACTGTCATTTTTAGTTGTGTTGATAGAGGTAGCAATAAGTTAGCTGATATGTGTGCTAATTATGCTATGGCTAGAAATTTCATTTGGGAAAATTTGAATTTGAATAAGATTCCTCCTTCATTTGTTAAATTATTGCAGGAGGAATCAACATTGTAGTTGTTTCTTTCTTCTTTTGCTATTAATGCATTTATTGCTCATTTCAAAAAAAAAAAACCATTCAAGGGGTGACGCGTATCAGAGATAGCATGTAGCATTGTGTAGGCATTCTATGTAACATTGTACCATTTGACTTTTCTTTTATAGTCTTTCCTGTATCCCTCAAAACTATATAAATAAGAAGTGATGAGGAACAAATTGGAGAACTTCTGACTAATAGTGCATACTCGATTAATTTTAAGATTCATGATCTCTTAAAGCATCCTATAGCTCTTTCTCTATTCTTTCTACTCTTTATTCTAACAAGTCTAGCTCGTCAAGTTCGGCCTATTAGTAAGATTCAGTTTTTCCACGAATAGATTTGGATCCAACATCATGTACATTTAAACCTTACTACAATCAATAGTATTATATTTTCAGTAGCAATGAGCCAACCGGACCCTTAAGCTGCAAGCTTGATAATGGAACAAAATACAATTTAGGACGACAAGCCAAGTATCATCATTACCGTTAGCCTTATCTTAACAATCAAGGTTGGAGCAAGGCAAACAATCTAAAAGAGCTGCAGCGAAATTAGCTGCATAAGAAGGAACAGTAAAAACCCCTATTTTGAAAATCGGAAATGACTAGCTGGTTCAACCGGTTCAACTATGAACCAGTTTGGTAGCCGATCCTATACAGCTTACAAAACCGACTCTACATCGAACCGGATCAAATCAATATGAACTGGCGATTCAACCGGTGAACCGCTAAGCCAGTTTGGGTTCGAAAGAACGGGCCGATTAAAAAATATTTTTATTTTTGTTTTAATTAAAATTTAAACATTATATTTTAATTTAAGTTGAACTACAAATTTGGGTTTAATTGGCTGCAAATTTAGGGAATGTATATTATAAATTTGTTTCAATATATATTATAAGAATTAATAATATGATTTGTTTAATATTATAAATGTATAAATTATATTAAATATTATTCTTATAATATATTTGATTATAAATATTTTATTTTTAAATGATATTTATATTTATAAAACTTTATTATATATTTTTAAAATTTTATAAATATTATTAAGTTCTCATGTACTTGTATTATATTATGTTAATTTTATTAATTTGAATAATATAATAATATTTATTACATCATCCGATTGGACCCCAGTTCGAACCTCTCCTTCCACTTCGTTGCCCGATCCGATTTTTAGAACCTTGATAAAAACTAAAATATTTTCAAATAGAGAAATCCATCTTCTGCAATAAATGTTTGAGTTGTCAAATAAAGTGAAATATGCCTTAAACTGGCAAGAGATTGAGCAAATAATTACTTATTTCAAAACAACATAAAAACAAGGAAATCATCAGTTCTTGACTAAGTTTTTAACAAAATTGTCACCATTCTCATCTGCAAGGATCCCAACAAATAAGACAACATGCAGCCTCCCTATACATGTCCTTTGAACAAAAGTAAAAAGAACCATCCAAGCATGAACTGCACCATACAAGTGCTAAACAAATGAACAGTAACCAACTAAGCTAGAAAAAATTAGTGCCAGTTGCACTGCTCCGGGTTGATTAAGGCTTCTCTATGCAATACAAGGGCCTGCAAAATAGGACTTCTATGGCAACACAGTTTGAAATTCATTTTGATCTTTTCTCGTCTGAAGCCCTTGCTCCTATAAGATTGCAAACTGGTTGATTTGGTTGGTGAAGCAGCTTAAGTGCGGGATGAACCTTGAGTTCTTCCATTACAATCTTCTGACCAACATCCAGTTCGCTCAAATCAACATCAATATAAGGCGGAACAATGTCAGCAGGGCAAAGGTAGTTGACAGTCCTCTTAATGGTATTTAAATAAGCCCCTGTCATGTAAATAAAAGTCCCCAGGAAGCAATATTTGAGGATGGAAGTTATGATTAATCAAACATAGATATAAAAGTAACACAACTCTGGAGATGGGTGAATATTCTAATCATGAAGCTCTTGGGTAAAGAGATCAAAGGATGTAGTTGATTCATCACAGGCGTTAATATTATTAAAGTACTAAAAGCAGAAAATTTTAATTAAGTATATCTGCCATCAACAGGGGCAACAGCATTCAGAATAAAGACTTTGCTACAATGACAGCACAAGTTGCAACTTCCTAAGCAAATGAAATCCGTCTATAGAAGCATCAGTATAAAAATTTGATGCAAAAAAAAAAAAAAAATCTGTTTCTTTGTTCTTGTAAAGAGGACGGATGACTTGCTCATACAATGGTGCCAAAAAATTGTTGGACAATATATTGTGCTTACAAGCATGAATAAGATGAACTAGTACAACTAAACAGAATATTCAGATAACAGTTCAAACAATTGAAAACATAGAATTATCAAATTAAAGAACACAAAAGCTAAAAAGAAAACCCTCCGGAAGGCATGCTAATATTTTTCTCAAATAAATTTAATTAAACAAGAAAATGGAACAGGAATTCGAACAAAAAAAAAACCAAAACGTCAACAGTGACAACATATACGTTTATCTAAGAAGGTTTGTTAAAGTTAACTCAAATATATTACTTTAACAGTATTCTTAACCTCCAAAACCCTGTAAGAATGATGTACCTTTTCTCAAACCTGGGCAAGAATCCTCTCCTCTGAAGACTAGAGGAACATCAACTTTCAATGATGCAGTAGAAGGAGCCCTCATAAAAGTGACGTTAAGAACAGCATCAGTGCCAGAATGTAGATGAAGCTAACAAAGTAAAACAAGCATTCAATTATTACGAGACTGCAAGAGAAAAAAAAAAAAATGGCCACCATATAATGTTTAACAAAATAATTTCAAAGAAAACAAAACAAGAATTTGACTTTCCGGTCTAATGTTTGATTTAAAATGTACAGCAGTATACCAAATTTCTCCTAAATATGCTTCATCATTATAAATAAGGATTTTTCTTGTTTTTTTTTTTTCTGGGAACTGAAGCATTATCCCAGAACCTCATATCCTCACAAAGTTCTTTACCACTAATTATATCAAAGTTTTCTAAAAAAAAAAAAAGATAAATGTCCAATTATTTCCAAAAACTTCTAGTAAATAGAAATAATCATTAGATCTAGTGGTGCCAATAAAAGCAAGGATATTGATACATAGTTAGATATAGTTGGATTAAGGGGATAAATTAAGAAGGTTCAATGGTCAGATCACCACAAAAAAGAACATTTTTTACAGCTCCTTAATGACAGAGTAAACTTCTATTTTTTCATTACTAATAAACACAGTAATTAAAAATTTTCATTTCATTTCCATCTTTATAAGGGATTTTATGAATGGCTAAAAGCTGGACATTGAATTTCTGGTATGTAAATAATAATAATTGAGATTATACCACAAAACTTAGAAACGTTGCCTAGTTTTCAGCTACAGATCAAACAACCAGATGTTAGGATTAAGTTCATAGGCTTACATATTCTGCAGCTACATAGAAAAATAAATATTGCGCTCTCAGAAAAAAAATACTTGCCAAATTCACATGCAAGCAAAAAGGTGAATCAGAACCAGATCAGGATTTTTCATTATGATAAAAAAGAATCAAGTTTATATAATATAGAAACCTATTTGTTCCCTCTTTTTTTTTTCTTATTTAAACAGTGTTTCTCATTCAAACAGTTATTTAGATACCTAGAAGCAGTTATTAGGATAAAATCATGGCAAAAAAACTAAACTATTTTAACGATAACTATATCTATATTTTTCAAAATATATAAGTTTTAGTGTGAAGTTTATCCAAACAATAAAACAAATAATGAAATAACACAGAAAAACTAAGATCAGACAAAACTTAGGAGCAGAAAACAAAGAACAAAATATTCATTCCTTCGAGCTTTAAGAAAGCAGCTGTGCTGACTGCATGTATACTTGAGGGCAATTCTAACTACTACTGCTCCATTATAAAGAAAAGAAGCTCATATAAACTAGTGAAACGAAAATGGTAGCTCAGCAACATAAAAATATTAACAGATATTGCCATGCCATAATAAGAGCAGCTAACTGGAACAATGATTGTACAAAACATAACGATGAATTGTTGGTTGAAGTTCGAGAAGCTACAAAGATTGTCAATATAGAAAACAAGATGTGGTGCAATTTATCACATCAAAGCCTAAAAGTCACTGAGCTCAAAGTAAGAAAGGCAGGACACTCAAACACGAGCTCTGGGATACATCATACAACATGACCTCTAATAATTTCTGAACCTTATGAACGAATTTTTTCCACTCACTGTACTTTAAACTTAGGCAACTTTCAAAAATCAAGAGCAAAGTCATAAAAGAGATCAATCACACTTTTACTCAAGCCATTTGGAAAAACTACATTCACCAAAAAATCCATTAGCTCTGGGATACCTTTCTATAATTCTCAAACCTTTACATTAGCAATCTACCACTTACCCTTGTTCGTCGGCATTATAAGAAAATCCCCCAAATGCATATAAATTCAAAGCAACATATATGAAACATGAGATTCCACAAGATCCAACTCAATTTAAATGGTTCCACTAGTGCCAGTAAATGATTAAAAAATACACCCTTTACTAAAACTAGAGAAAGCATTACAATTATGTATGAGAAATGAGCGGTGCAAGATATCTCTTGTGATTGCAGGAGAATTCTTGAGATGTCTGAATTATCACAAGGCAATATTGATTGGTTAACTTGGTCATTCCTTGATAGTAGAAGGGGAAAAGAACAATTGATAAGATAGACATCTGATGTCGATGGGTAATAGACATCGAATGTTAGTGTATGTCAAGCAACGAGAATGTTGGAAGTCATGTGACAGCCAATACTGAGGTTGATCGCTATCCTAATAGGATGGGAGATAAGAGTAATCGAAAAATGAGGTTTAAGGATCGGCTTTTGAAATCAGTCAAAAAAGAGTATATTAAAATTGTTAGATGTCACGCAATGATCGACAATTGACTTGATTGTTCTCTTGATAGGAGGAGAGACTGAACTACAAGTAAGACTAGAGTTAGATGAGTATGATCGAAGAATCTGCGGCATCAAACATTTATATGAGTCGAGCAACAGTCGATAAATAACATCAAAGATCAGACAAATGATGTTATCAACAAGCAATGACGAGTAGTGCTAATGGCAAGCAGCAATGTTGGCCAACAAAGAATGACTTATTATAACAATGATTATCAACACTAGTCAACAGATGGTGTTCTAAGGTGATTGGCAAAGCTTTGAATTTCTTTAAATATGGGAATTCTCAGCACCAAGTTTTGGATAAGAAGAGAGGAGAGTTGCATTAGGTAGTCGTCATCCAACATAAAACTTATCGAATAATTATGATAAGAAACCCTTAATGTATTGTGTTAATGCTAGGGCATTCCCTGTAAACGACGCACTATATGACTTGAATACAATGAGAAATTTGCAAGGGCGGAGAAATTTGCAAGGGCCACTGCATCGGAGCCCGGATGCAGTATTAAATAGGCAAGGGTTCCCAAATCATGAACAGATGTGGGTAAAGAAACTAGTTTTTTTTTTTTTTTTAGACCTAAAAAGACTTGGTTAGAAAATATTAGGAATGACCTTTCTTTATTAGATTTAAACGAGAATTTGACTTTTAATAGGACATAATGGAGAAAAAGGATTCATGTAGGCGACCCCACGTAGTGGGATAAAGGCTTGATGTTGTTGTTGTTGTAGGAAACTAAATAGGTGGGAGAGAAGGAAAAAGAGATTGATAGTTTAGAGTTTAAACTTCGATCTTATAATATGAGTCGTACTAGAAATGGGGTATGTGTGATTAAAGATAAGAGTTTGAAAGATAATGTTGTAAAAATGGATAGAATTTCAGAAAGAATTATAGCTTTGATGATTATTATTGATGAAAAGATTATTAATATTATAAGTGCTTATGCTCCTCAACTCAAATAGGTTTGAATATATGTTCAAAATTAAAATTTTGAAATGACTTAGAAAAATATTACAAAAGATACCTCTTAAAAAAAGAGTTTTTATTAAGGGATTTAAATGAACATGATAGTAGAGAGATGGAGGATTTTAAAAGCATCTATGATGGCTATAGGTTTGGAGCAACTAATGAAGATGTTAAGAGTATATTAGATTTTATTCTAGCTTATAATTCAGTAATTGCTAATATTATATTTAAGAAAAGAGATAAGTATCTCATCACTTATAAGAATGGATATAGTAAAACCTAGATTTGTTTTTTTAAAAGAAAAATAAATCGTTTAAATTGCGAAGTTTATAATGTTATTCCAAGTGAAAGTCTATGTACCTAACATCGCCTATTAGTTTTGAACTTTAAGATAAAGGGGAAAAATATAAAAATTTAATATATCATTCCTCTAGCATTAGATTGTGGCATTTAAAGAATTCTAACAAAAATATATTTGAGTAAGATTCGCAATCTTAAGATTTTATCGATGCATGAGGAAGGTAATATTATGTGAAAATAGTAGCTTGTAATATTAAGAATGTTGCAAATGATGTGCTTGGAGTATTTAAAAAAAGATTTTAATAGTAAAAATAGTTAGTTGTGTAATCAAAATATAAAAGAAAATATCAAAAATAAGAAGCTCTGTTAAAAAAATTAATTTAGATGTAAAAATTATGAAATTTAGGTAAGATATAAAGTTGCACGTAAGGAGTCTAAGAAAGCAATATGCGATGAAAATACTTTAGCTTTTAATGATTTAAATAATATATTTGACACAAAAGAGGGCGAAAGATATATGCATAAGCTAGCCAAACAAAAAAATTTGAGTAGTAAATATTTAGTTTAAATAAAGTGCATTAAGTATAAAAATAAAAAAATAATATTTATATAAGAGGATATTCAACAAAAGTGCATGAGAAGTTTTGCTAAACTTTACAATGAAAATTGTAAAAATATAATTAACTTTAGTGGCCTTAGCACTCTAAATGAAAATAAATATTTTTGTTTTTATCGGCGTATTACTAAAACTGAAGTTAGAAAAGTTTTAAAGAAAATGATGCATGGGAAAAATGTTGGACCAGATGATATTCCAATGAAGGTGTGGAAATGCTTAAAAGATTAAGGAATTCTTTGGCTTAATAAATGTTTTAATATTATTTTGAAGACTAGATGGATGAAGAATGAGTGTGTTGATACCTATCTTTAAGAATAAAGGTGATGCACAAGATTATGCGAATTATAGAAGAATTAAGTTAATATGTCATACTTTAAAACTATGGAAGAGAGTTATGGAGCATAAGCTATGACGTGATACTAATATTTCTCAAAATCAATTTGGATTCATGTTGGATAGGTATACTATGGAAGCCATACATTAATTGAGAGGTTTTTTTTAAAAAAAAAGATGCAAATAGCATAAATTAAAAAAGCCTGATACAAACTACGAAGTGATAGACAAGCTATTACGTTCCTCCTTTAACAAAGAAACAAAAGGAGGAATCTTATTATAGCAAATGTTATCCAAAAAAAAAACATCCAAAATGGACAAGTTAGCACAAAAATTAGCTACATATTACAACTCCTATTAGTAAAAAGAAATAGAATTGACCAAAATCTAAAAAAAAAAAAAGTCTTCAACTTCAATCAAATCTTGAATCCCATACAAGTTGCCAGCCGAACTTTGAAGAGCCTTCATAACGTTGGCCATCTTTCAATGCTCCTATCAAGAATCCAAACATCCTTCATAATATTAACTGACTTACCCGAACAAATTG